TACACCTCTCTTTACTACTCTTTAGACCTCTGATGTTAAACCTCCCTATACCCCCCTCCCCCTTTTTCTCCCCCCCCCCCCTACACACTCAACAGCTCAACAATATTTAAATGCACATGTTAACCTGCTAATTTTATTTTTAATGACAGATGTCCAAAAAGACCATGAAAACGAAAAACACCCGTGGCTTTTTTTATTAATAAAGTTTATAAAATATTTTATTTATAATTAAACAGGAGAGATAAACAGATTACTACAAGTACAAATGAACCAAAATTTCAAAATTCTCCCCCCCCCCCCATTTCCCCCCCCCCCTAAATTTCATCATAACCTCTCCCCTTTTTCCTCCCCCACCCACAAACCATTGTCTAACTATTATCAACCTACACAGAATATATGAGCAGGAGGAAGAAAGACCCGTGAAAGAGATGCATATATAATAACAAAAATACTAAAAGCACTTGACAACAATTTCAGTCAGACAACAATTTAGTCAGTCGAAGACTAATAATAAATCTTGATCATGTTGTCAATGAAAGTTTTCATTTGCCATGACAAATTTACATATTCTCTAACATTTGATTGGTCATAGGTCAACACATTAATTATTATTAGGGCTGTACCGAATAGTGATTTTCACTATTCGGCCAAATACAAATAGTGGGACCAACTATTCGGCCGAATACGAATATGAATAGTGTATCATCATCATCAGGTGCCTTGCCGACTGGTGTTGGCGATTTTGCCTCTCCACAATCTGAGATCTCCTGCAGCATGTATCAGTTCATGTGCTGACACACCTCCATGACATGCAACAGGACTGCCAAGAATCTTCTCTCATTGTCTTTTTCCATCTCTCCTTCCACAAATCTTTCCAGTGGTCACCACATGTTCCATTTTCACTCTTCTTATAACATTTCCGAAAAGTGATGACTGTCTCCTTCTCATGTCTGCGATTAGTTGTCTTCGGGCTCCCGCCTCTTTCAAAACCTAGTGGTTGCTTTTTTTAAGTCTGTCCAAGGTATTTTAAGCATTGTTCTGTAAAACCACATCTATGAGGCCTCAAAAAATTGTTTAGCCTGAACACCAATTGTCCAAGACTTACAATGCATTGCCTTTAAATATAAGTGCTGATTTGACGAGGATAACAGTTAATATTGTACAGACCACATTTTCCACTTCACAATTTGAGCAAAAATGTAGTCACAACCTTACTTATCTGCTGCACCTTCACGAATACAGATGGAGGATTGGTCGCATGTCAGGATAAATACAAAGACAATTTTTAGCAAGCTGCGGTTGGCATTTTATGCAGTATGATACACTTTGAGTGTGAAACAAGAAACAAAAAACTTTTTTCGACAGTGGCGAGGAAAGGCAATTTAAATTTTAACTTTCTTTCTTCATGCCTTCTTTAATAATGTCACAATTTATAGCCAACTTTTTTTTTATTTCCGCCGTGGCACCCCTGGCATACGCACCCAGTTTTAGAACCTCTGCTGTTATGTGTCGGTCGAGTCAGCACGCAAAGACATTGCCACCTGCTGTTACCACACAACCGGGTAGCAGTTTTCCCCGCTACGACAGATTTAGGCAACGCTACTATTGTGTTAATGAGAGAGTTATTTTAGTCCATCGCAGTGTATGAAGAAATCACTATTCGTATTCGGCCAGACCGCCACTATTTGGCAGAATACCGAATAGGAATTAGGTCCACTATTCGGCCCAGAAGTGAATATTCAGTACAGCCCTAATTATTATATTTGATTATTAGGAGTTAAATGTCCATTAGAATGTTTATTATGAGGGGAAGTCAACAGGTAAGTCACACATGGTTATGGGATGGCAGGAAAATGTAACTGGTGGTTTCTAAAGGTGTCTTTAGGTGACAGCAACATCAGACTTTATGTCTCAATCCATTGGGTGGCACAAGGTGTTGCATGCACATTCATACTAAGAAACAAAATGGTGACTGTATTTAAAAAGTGTTTTCTTCTGCCTTTCTATCCCCCAATAGAGCATAGGCCCTAAACCAACTCACACCAAATCGTTCTACCCTTCGCTATTACATGGAGCTCTCCCAATATCCTACCTATCCTTCTAACTTCATTCTCCAGCTCTCCTCTCCATGTGTTTTTTGGCCTTCCTTTATTACTATGCCCCTGTGGGTTCCAATGCAAAGACATTCTAGTTATGCTGTTCTCTGGTTTTCTCAATGTGTGTCCTATCCAACGCCAGCATCTTTTACTCACCTCTTGGTCCACTGGAGCTTGCTTAGTTCTCTCCCAAAGCTCTACATTAGTTATTCTATCATACCATTTAATTCCCTCTATTCTGCACAGGCACCAGTTAATGAATGTCTGCAATTTATTAGTAGTTGCCTTAATTGTTCTCCATGTTGCCGCCCCAAAAAAGTACTAATTTGACATTAGAATTAACAATGTCAAGTGTAGCATTTCTTTTAATTTCTTGTGACCTCCACAAATTCCCAAGTGCTTTGAAAGCTTCTCTTGCCTTAAAAAGTGTACCCTCAAAGAACATCGTGCTGTTATGGTTTTTTTTTTGGGGGGGGGGGGGGGGGGGGGGAGTGGCAAAAGGGCTGCCTGCAAAGGACATTCATAAAGAAATGCTTTCTGTTTATGCCAACAAATGTTTATCCTCCTTTTTTTGGTTTATAGAAAGCCCACCTTGGTGAGAGACATATCCCGAATGACACAGAAATTGTATGTGAAGTGAAAATCTGGCTTAGAAAACAGAGCACGCAGTTCTGTGCAGCAGGTTTAGGAGGACTGAAAAAAGATGAGACAAGTGCATCAATGTTGGCGGAAATTATATTAAAAATAAACAGTGCATGAGTAAAACATAAATGGTTTTTATCGTCTTAGGTTTGTTTTAAACAACCATTAGTGACTTACTTATTGACCTCCCCTAGTATGTAAAGCAAATTTACATTGTAAATTACATAAAACAACAGACACCCCTGTGATGTTTTATCTGTGGCAGTGAAAGAATCCTTTCAAGGCAAGCAGCACCTGGGGCATATGATGCTAGACTCATATTTTATATAGACACATCCTTTGGCCAGCTTTACTTCCCAGAATATTTCCTGGCACCCATGGTAGGCTGGGTGGATCTGGGAGCTGAGGTTAATTTTAAAAACCTACTTGGTGCAAATTCAAAGATAGGACCTTTGCACAGGCAGGCAAGAGTCTAGCCCAGTGGTTTTCATACACATACATCAAAGGGTCAAATAAATAAAAACAGCAATCACCAACCAACTGTTAATTTAGTGTCCAAATATCAGAGTGTTTTATTTTGCTAAAATCTGCTGTAGAACTGCTCCTGAAAACAAAAACGTGCTTGGCTCTTTGTCTGATAAACAGTTTTAAAGACATATTTGTATATAGTTAAACAGAAAGAAAAATATTAGCGTAGAGATTACTACAAGAGCAAATGCACCCAATTTCAAAACTTCTTGATGCCTCCCGTACAACTTCCTTGCACCCCCTGAGAGGGGTGGGGCAGGGCGGGGTGGAGGGAACAGGCTCACCCAGCTGAAAACCACTGGTTTAGCCAATGCACTTTTGCAGCTCCTTTATAAGCCACATAAATATTCTACCTGTGCTTTGTTGAAAAAAAAAATATGGTTACGTTCAATCTTCTTGAATAAGCTTTGGTTATAACTGCACACTTTTTATGGTTATCCTTGGTGATGATAATGCTTCTGGAATTCCTATTTGCTATTTCTGCTGAATACTGTCTATCTGGCTAATTAGCATAACAAAGGTGCTTCTTGATTTAAAACTGGATGTTTCTTTTCCTTCTATACCCATTAGTGTTTTCAGTGGATGAACCCACTGCCAGTGAAACAGAATGATTTGCTCCCATTCCCAGTAAGGACTAGTGGTTACCCAGGTACATTTGGTGGGATACATCTCCTAATCAGGCATAACTGCCAAAACACTCTTAACGTCTTGGCTGCTGATGTAATAGACATGTAATTTATGCAATAAAGTTATCACAGTTATAGAGCTATGCAATTAAGTATTTGGCAACAATAGTTTTTCGTGAAATATAAAACAAATGAATTGTTTGAAAAAGAAACACAAATACAGACTGACAAATGCATGAATCAAAGTTAAAACTTTTGTAGTGAGTACAAATATTTCTATACAAAAAATATTAAGAAATCCAAACAGACTGTGTCTCTTAACACTTTATGATCTTCTGACAAATCTTTTGAGTGTAGAGAAAAAACAAGATAGACACATACACATTTGCACGCACGCACGCACACAGGCAGGCACACATGCATGCACACACACACATAACAGACATGTTGTACTCAACAGTTTTGGTCCCAAACTAAACAGAATGTGTGAATGGATGCTCCTCTGGAGTAAATATTTGTTGCCTTTAAAATTCAGTCTGAGAATGCTAAAGAAATGTGTCTCCCCAAATAGCCATATCTACTGTATTTAGCCTCTGTTTAGCATTCATAAGTTTTCCCCACTTTGGCATTTGCTGCCAAAATCTTCTGGAAAGGAAGGAGATAATTTCTTACACTTTTGCAACCATTATATTATAAAAAAGAAACAGATAACAAATTTAATTATAAATTTTGTTATGTGAATAAGATGTGAATATTCAGAAGAATAGGTTTCATTTCATGGACATACAAAAAAATCAAATACACAGGTCCTGGCAGACTAGGAATAAAAAAAAAAAAAAAAAAAAGAGTTGGTTAAGGAAATTAAAAGGAGATAAGTGAAAAATGTTTGCCATATTAAAAGACATGATTCATTTATCAAAACTATAATGGAGGGAAGAGATAAAGGCAAATGGGCATACAATGATACAAGTGGAAGGATAAAGTCAAGAGAACAGGAGTCTGAGAGAGTGTGCATCCAGGGTGAAAGACAGAGAGTGTTGAAGATCCATTGCAGTCAACTTCATTGTGGAGATCATGTCTTGACTGATTGAGTAGAACAATCAGGCGGTCAGCATGCAGATTCTTCCATTGCTTCAGCCACTGGATTGATCTGTGGCTTTTCAGAATCATCTCCATTTGCCAATTTAGATTCAGGGGAAGTAACATCAGAAGTCAATTTCTCCTTGACCTTAAGGGGGCTTCTATGACTGTCCTTTTTCATTATAGATGTCTTTTTTAGTTGGAAACCTTTTCTGATGTCCTTCAGTAAATTGTCTATGATACAACCATCTTCTTCTTGTGGGCTTTTTGGTTCTTTATCTGTTCAGAAGGAAGAAAAATGTTTGCACATTAGTATTCTTAAAAACTATACTGAACAAATTAAAAAACAAAAACAAAAAATCTAGTTATCCAACGGTGCTTTTCTGTAAAAAAAAAATAGTTATCTCATGGTAACTCTTTGTTAGCTTATGTGAAAGCCTGTACACCTAAAAACTATTGACAATCCAGATGCATTCAACTGTAATTTGATTAGTTGAACCCTAAGGTATTCTTTTGTGCAAATTAAACTATTACATTCAATAAATTACAAAGATTTTGAATGTCAAGATTATTTTGTTTTTTTAAATTGTTTCTTTCAATAGCTATGCATTTTTGTAAAGGGTAGTGAAGCACCGTCAGATAACTAAGCCTTTTTTTCCTTAAGCAGTATGAATACAAAAATACAGATAATTTTGTGGGCATTATGAACAGACAATGGTAGAAACAGGAGGTTTGCAAGATAACAACTTTTTAATTTTTTTTATTTTCCATGCCAGTGGTGTTCAGATGAGAAAGCGCCAGACCTCTCTGAAGGCTGTGTTGTGACACATGTCCCCCACTGATCCATACTGCATGGCTTCCACCAGAATGCTAACTGGCCAGGTTTCAGATCTCCCTGCTGCATGTGAAGAGTATGCTGTGTTTGGAATTCTAGTTGTTGTCCACATAGATAAAGTTCAGAGTCCCTAATCTTGAACTTCCTGTACATACGGTCTCAACCTGTTGTGCAATCTAAAGACAATAATCTGGTGCATTCATATGAGGAGACTGATTGGGGCTTTGGGATTGTTTTCTGGATGGGAAGTGTTACAATCAGTTCTATATGTATAATGTGAAGTATCTGAACTCTATCAGCCCCAAGGCGCTCAGCATGCATTTGTGGAACTCTCTTACATTACATACTACTCTTAACCTTCTGTACCACATCCAATGATTGGGTTAGCTTACTGTGCCTTAGTTGTTGCTTTATATCATTCTTTCCTATGGTGGTATTAATTTATCTGCTTCAGACTCAAAGATTTATTAGTTAAAATAACAAATTTTTAGGATACAATGTGATTAAATAGCATTAAACCTGGGACTCAAAGAGTTAAAATAGTAGTGCTTGCATTACAACCACTAAAAAAGTTAAAATTATTAATACATACTGATCACTGAAGAACAATATTAAAATTTCAAAACCAAACCTAAAATATGTCTTCTTCTTCACCTACATTTGCTCATAAAAGAGTGGTTAGCACTCTGTGTTGTGGTTTGCAGACAGGATAAAATATTGCCAGTTACCACACATGACTGCTTTTTTGGGCACCTTGAATCCTGTTAAACTGAAGTTTCAACCTATTCTATGCCAGTTGTTAATTCAGTGCCTTTTGTCCCCTTGTGTTATTAGTATTATTTTTGTTTTTGCAGCCCTTCACATCAAAATACTTTTTTAAAAAGAAACTAACAATGAGGACATGTGGAGCTAAGAACCAATGCCTTGGAATGAAAGAGTTAATAGCATCTATAAATATATTAATTGTAAAACCTTGTTTTCAAAAATCAGAAAAACCTAATGCTAAAGAATTGAAACAAAACAACAGAAATTATGGAAAACTGAAAGGGAAGAGAAGCGGGAGAGACTAACAGAGATGTTAAACAGCTCAGCATGATGACAAAGAATGATATTCATACAGAAATGACTAGCGACATTTAAACAGGTGGCTGTGGATAAAGACATGATGACCAACACCAAATTGCACAGATTTTAACACAGATTCTAAGAAGATGAACAAGAAAAAGTAACTTATGAACTTCACAAACAGAAAAATCTAACGTTTCTAGAATGGCATATGATATCACAACAGTGCCCATGAGAGTTCAAGAAGCTCCAATCTTCTTTTCAAAGTCCATGCCATGTGGCGTTCATAGTCATGTCTATCCACAACCTTCTGTCTCGTGCACTTTCAATCTACTCTGACACAGATGATCCTCCTTGCCATGATATCAAACTGTCCAGCATCTGTTCTCTCTGTCTCCCTCTGCCTCTCCTTCCCTCCAACTTTCCGACTGTCACAATGTACTCCATTTTTTCCCTTCTCATTACAGGAGCTTAAATAGGCACAAAGAAAACATGTGTGCGTGCGCACGCTTGGCTTACAATAATCCTAGTTTAGGAGCCCAGTAATAATGTGAAAGAATTGGCTAATAAATTATCATAATATATCTGAAATAATAGGACAACTATAAACATATATTTTTAAAGAGAATTTCTTTACATGGTAAATTGAAGCGACTTAGCCCACTTTTAAAATGTGTCGGTGGAGGTTCGGGGGCAGGTAGATTGGGGGGGGGGGGGGGGGGGAGGGGGCTTGAGCTCCGAGATTCTGATGGCCCAGCTAAAGATGCCAGGCAGCACCATGACAGCCACGGAGGAACTCATATGTTGTTATGAAACTCTAAACTACTAAAGGTATTTCATATTAACTCATGCAAAAGTACCTTTATGTATAAGCCTTCCGTATTACATCATGCATTAGCTCATGTTTTACTAACCATGCAAAAGCATCATAAGACAGAATACATGGGCCATATTGATGCGGCACATTTCAAAGGCATATATAGAGCATGCAAGAAGCAACATTTATGACTAAATATATGGAAAACACTGCCAAAGGACGGGAGTTTTGCTATGTAGTCAGTGTTTGAAGATTAAAACCCTGAGATGGACACCACCTTGACGAGAACATTCTGTGGCTCTAACAGTCATGTTCAACATAATTTTATGTAGGGTGGGTTTTAGCTGGGATGGCCGCTATCTCCCTTTGGAAGTTTTCCTTCAGTTCTTTGATGGTAGTGGGCAATGAAAGAAATGTCCAACAGTAACTCCCATCCTTACACTTCCTATTAAGCTATATCTAAATCATGCATGACAGTTATTACTCGCAGCAATATAAATGTGTTCCACCAACATGGCCCACCTTGTATAAATTATAATCTTAACTCATCTTGATTCTCTGGTACCTTACGGTGTCGATGTGAGGTATAATTTACGGGAAAGTGCCCATATGCGGGTTTCATAAATGGGGATTCCCAAGGACTCTGTCATTCCCTCTGTCCATCATTTGCATGGTAAGCCTCTTCTTCACTTCCCACCTGGTCTGTACATCATTGCTTGTTGTGGTATACTGTTTGATGACATCCACACTATATGGCCAAACTATTTCAGCTCTTGTCTTCTAATGAAATCCAGATCTGCCGCCACTCCCATTCTCCTTCAGATTTCATCATTCTTGATCTTATCTCTCATTGTTATATTAGGAGGCCTCCTAAGGAATCTCTTTCTGGTTGTTGTAATTTTTCTTTTCTCTTTTTCTTTCATTGTCCAGGTCTAGCACTGATAGCAGAGGGTTAGCAAGAAGATTATGTCATAGAGTGTTCTGGTTTCTAATGACACGTTTTTTTTTTTTTTAGTGATGATGCCATTTGCACAATGACTTCATTTGCTCTGTTACATCTGTCATTGATTTCATCTTCTGTTTATAGGCTAGAATACTATCTGTAAATAAAATAAACTATGCCATACAACATCTGCTGAAGTCAACTGCTTAATCTCATAACAACAAGATCTCATTATATAAAACATTGATAAGATAAGCTGTCTTATACTGCTTTGAAAACTGGAGCAACATTAGAAGAGATGAAGCATTATTACAAATGTAGAAAAACAGTCTTTTTATTTTTTACTTTTACCTCTGAATGTCTAAAATCTTGACAGTTTGTAAGAGCTGGAGCTTCCAGAAATAGCTGCAGTGATTTAGTAATTAGTGCACTCGCATACCTAATTTTTTCCTTTAAATGATGTACTTTAACCCTACCAGGCCACTGGCCCGATTTTTCAGGAATTTCCTAACCTGATGCTATACCGCTGGCCCCATGTTTCAGAAATTTGCGCTGTACGTGAAAAATATGCATCACAAACTAAAAATAACCAGCCATTCACCATCAGACTTCGTGGTTAGTCATTGACTTCCCACGTGTGTTGAGATTTCTTTGTGTGGTTTGATGGTGAAAAAATTAGGAAAACTCTCAATGAAACGAGAGGCTTCGACAAGAAAATGATGTAGCTTTTCACACTCCAAAAGGTGATCGATACTTTGGTTAATTCAGACTATGAATACGTTCATGAAGAAGTTGAAGTGACACAGTCAGTGAGAGCTAGAGTGAGGAGGATAATTATGAAAATTATAGATCTATTACTAGATAGATAGTAAGAGAAGGGGGCGTGCCCCTTAAACAGCAACATCTGGTGCTCACTTTGTGAAACAAGACTGATCCTGCTAGGTGGATTGGCATACAAAGGTTGAATGTTGGCGATGGATGAAATGTAAACCTATTTTCTACAATGTCTCCAAGTTTTATTCAATTCTAACCACTTGTTTGCATGTAACTAATATTTTTGTACATCATGTTTGTTTTTTCGTGTTAATGCCCATGAGCTCAGGTATAGGGGACAGTTAGGTTCAGGGCTTCAGGTCTGGTAAGGTTAATAATGTGGACTGTAATTAAGTGGATTGTCTACTTTTGATGAAGTTAATCAGTACTTTTGTGATGTAACATTTTTAAAACATCTGCATTTTCCTTTTACTTCTTAAAGTCCATGCAATGTGGCATTGGTAGTCATGTCTATACACAAACTTTCATCTTGTGTACTTTTGATCATTTCTGAAAAATATATCTTCCATGCCATGATGTCAAACTGTCCAGCATCTTCTCTCTTGGTCTCCTTCTGCCTCTCTTCACCTCCAGGAATCCCACTGTCATGATGAACTCCAGTTTTCTCGTTGTCATGATATAACCGAAGACTGTAGATGTGTCTCCTTCTGATGTGGGCAAACAGTTCTCTTAGCGAGTTAGTTTAAAAAAAAAAAGATATTTTCATTACTCTTTTTTATCTGTCCAGAGCATTTTCATTATTCATTTATAAAACCATATCTCCGCAACTTCCAAATAATTTTCAGCTAATCAACCAACAGTCTATAATTCACTTTCCATATACAGTCAAATCTTTCAACACAAATTCAAAGGCACCGAAAATCAAGCTTATGTTACAACAATTTTACGCCAATCTGAGGTAATAATAATAATAATAATAATAATAATACATCCCTGCTGGCATTAACATTTTGTTCATGATAATTAAGTGTTCTTCTTAAGCAAGTTTGCATAAAAAGGGGTTTAGTGTATTTCTAGGATCTTATTTTCTAATGAAAAGGAACTGACCCTTTTGCTCTCTGTGGAGGAAAAAAGCAAGCATGTCACAAAAGATTACTAATTAAGAGAGTTTCCTTTGAAGTCAAAGTGCATCTGCCTGACTGGCAAAAAACCAACAGTCTGCATGCAAATAAGACGGATCTATAAAACAGATTTGCATATAATATTCACATTCTTGAAAAAAACCAAAGTCCAGATGTGGACAAACAATAAGAACGTTCCGCCCAAGTTTGCAGCTAGTGAACTCGAATAAAAAAAAATGAATACACGTTGAAACATGCTAAAAATAAATTGCTACACTAAAACGTGAGAGATACAATGTTCAAGCTGCTAATTTTAAAAAAAAAACTATGAAAGCAATATGTCAAAGCAATATATGGTGCAATTAAAGTTGCATAAATATTGAATAATAATAATTTATAATGTTAAATAATAGTTTATCAGTCAATATATGATTGTGCAAAAACTAATTCAAGTGTAAGCAATAAGTCATACTGAATTTTGGAAATCCCAAATTTAGTAGTGGTTTAGTCTTGTTGGTTAAGACTGCTGCTGGGGTGAAATTTAAGGAACAAAATATATCAGTACAGTGAGTAAATGAGGATAATATATAATGTAGATACAAATGATTATCTAAATGACATTGCAATATATAGTGTTAGACTGGTTTTTAAAGGAACAAAATTTTTTTTTTTTTGGTTAAAGAAACTTAATGGTCTCTGGATATACCAAATGAACAAGAATTAAATCATGACCTACAAATATTTCTTCATAAATGCTTGAATAATAAGATAGTTGTAAAAATGGCTTTTTTTCCTAGAAAAAGTAGGTACTCACTACAATATGTATAAAAATGGGGGAAAAATGATGCCTCAAACAGGTGCCAGTACTGTGTACCACCAGAAGAAAAAAAACCTGGTTATAAACCATTTGCACGATATTTTAAACCAACCCCTGGCATTTGTTAGTATTAAAAAAGTGTTTTAACAGGCACATTTTGTGATGTTCATCAGTTAGTCATCATATTATGAATAGTAAGTAAAAAAACTTACAAAAGAAAGCCTTGCATATGATATGACAACATCTAATTTGAGAATAGAGGTGGAGGCAGTCTCTGCTGCCTTCCGCTGGCTTGAGAATCAGCTGTACACACAGGCCATGATTGTAACTGACTCACAGAGCATGTTGAGAAAGGTGGAGACAGGCATGCTCCGTTCAGAGTGGCAAGCATCACTTCACAAGTCCTGGGTAGTTAGCATCCTTTGGATATTTCCTCCAGTTCGTGATGGTATGTTGGGAAATGAGCAGGCAGTAGACTGACCGGCTCTGCACCACTTGGAGGTGAACTGATGTATGACAAGCTATATACTGTGAAGGCCCTTTAGGGGAGAGTGAACTGTGCGGAGGCACATTTGATCATTACGGTCTAAAGAGAATGGCAATGGGAGATATTACCAGGGGATGTGCTTATCTCATGGTCCATTGCCTCAGGCAGATGCACTCCAACTTTTAAGGATGCCCCTAGTTAGTTGACTTCTATGACATGTGGGGAGGCAGTGGGCCTGTTATTGTTTTTGCCCATAATGGGGCTCCAGAACCCATAAGGGGACATAAGACATTCAACACATGAATACTCAAAAGTATGATAATAACATGTGAGCAAAATAAGGGTAGTTTAGGGGTTATGAATGTGATTTCTGAATTCCAACAAACTGGGTACAGCTCAGGTGCAGGCAAATTGGCAGCAGGCAGCTTTGCATTGACTCGACCATGCAGCAAGCAATGGCAAACTATATACCTAAGATTCTAAAGTAAAACCACAAATGGTAAAACAAAACAAAAAAAATGATGGATTTGGTTTGTGATATCCTGTAAGGGATCTCTAACTAACGTAATACAATAAGAAAAGATGCAAAATCAGTACTTGAAGCACTACAGTCTGGAGAAAAAAACTAAACTCAGCTGTCAATGTAGAGTCACAATATAATGGATACTGTCTCACTGTGGAGCATCCAGAAATGTGATAGCAGATCAACTGGCAGGGAAAGCTGCGACATAAGAGCAGCCAGATGTACATGTCACATACCACCAAAAGAGAAGGATCAGTAAATCAATTAGAAAACCACCAACCACGGCACACAACATTTTATGGACAGATCCGAACAGGTCATTATTCTGGGCCTCAGAACAAGGCACAACTGATTACACAGTCATAAGGCATTTGAAATTTAAGATTGGTATATGAACCATGTGCACATGGAGAACACCACCATAAGACAGCCCTGAATATGTCACATTAAGGCAAACCTTCTGGCCAAAAAGAACAAAAGTGGAAAGTCTTCAGACCACTGATTGAACTAAAAATGAGTAGCATTTATACAAAACGAAATTACAGATAAAGACAATGTATTTCAGGGGAATAAAAGAACCATATTATATGTGTATTGGTGTCTTCTTAAAAAAAAAAAGTACACAATCAAAGAAAGCTGTAATAAAATAACATATGTTACAATTAAAAACAAAGATTAATAATTTGTTGTAGATATAATAAGCACATTAAAAACAAGCAGTTAAGAAAGAACGAAACAAGTCAATGTTTTAATGATTACATTGTAAATAGAGCTTTGTAAAGGCTAAGATTGGATGTTCAGGATTTAATATTAAATTTCATATAGATTTCCATCACAATTAATTAATCTTCTCTTCATTCTCAATTTGCCTGGCAGTCATAAAAGGCCACTAATTATGGGTTTGCAGATGTGTTGTGCCAAAAAGTTCTGATTTTACAGTTTAGCTGTAAACCCCTACACAACATGCCACATGCCCTTTTAAAAGGGCAGAAGATGAAAAGTGATCATCCAGACAAAAAGAACACTGAAAGATCAAGAGTGTAATTGTCAAAACCTTTTAGTTACATATCTATATAAACATAACACAACATGGACACATTCGATGTGCATAACACTTGTGAACTTCAACCTGGCGAAATGTGCAGAAGGTATAACAGACATTTCCATAGGTAGTCAAAAATGTTAAAGATGGATTTAAAAAAAAATTAATTATCATGGACATATAACAAAAGAACATACATTTGAACACATTAAAAGTATTAACAGATAGAATAGAAAATGGAAAATTTAATTTAAAAACTAATTATGCCGGACTTCAGTTATTAACTTCTTACATTCACTGCGATTTTAATATGAACTTTACTGAAACAATAACTATACTTACTTCCTCTATTAGCCTTATTAGTTTCCATATCTTTGCGTCTTTTCTCTGCTCTTTCCTCTTGCAATTTACGCTGTTCATTATCCTGAAAGGTAGTCATATTTGTTAAATTGTGAATCCTCAAGGATTTTAGCTCAAAATTATGTTAGGCCCAAATATTTTTATCACATGTTTTGGGAAAATGAGAAGTTATATTTCTAAATGTTCTAATAATTTTTTGTTTATATTTTTCTTTACATACAAATATTTTAAAAAGAAAAATTACACAGACAATATTCTAAAATTAAAGAGACTTCCGGCCCAATATGGAGGACTAAGTATAACAGAATGTTTAGCTTTGAAGTTATCTTTGCTTCAGACAGCACTCTGCTAATGCAGTTTCCATACATGGACAGATGTCTACAGTTTCACTGCGGTGCAGCACTGTGCACTGTGTTCTTCATGTGGAATGCCTTGCATTAGTGGAGCGGCTGAGTTGTGGTATTCAATATGTCTGGTGGTAGCTAGTTTAAATATGGACTGGAAAAATACCTTATGTAATAATTTTACTGTGTGAATGCGTGTTGGAGTGTATGTGTGAAAATGAGTTTGTGAGTGAAAGTGTGTGTGTGAGTGTGTGAGTGAGTGTGTAAGTGAATATGTGTGTGTGAGTGTCTAAGTTAGTGTGTGAATGTGTAATTGAACGTGTGAGTAAGTGTGTGCATGTGTGTGCATGGTTTATACGGTTTAGTAAGTATTTTTTCTTCCCCAGAAAATATCCCCTTACTGAACCAGTTAAAGAGAAAGAATAAATGCTTCAGAAGAAAATTACTTTTTGGCACAGCTTGATTTTCTGACAAAATGTGTTGAAGGTGCTGAAACATTCCTCCAGCTTGAATGTATTGTCTGGCTCACAGAAGTGTGATGCCAGTTTGGCAGTCAACTCTTTGATTTCAGACAGCTTGCCCTGAACCACATTGATCTCATTCTCAGCATCCTGGAAATGTTATATTTAGATCAAATTACAAAATGTTAGTGACAATGAAATTTCAATAAACCATTTTCACACTTTCATGTTGAAGATACTATACTAACAAGATGGCACCAATGCAGAAGACAGTTTGTTCACATATAGACATTTAAATAATGCAGACACAGACATTACATTGCACACATTATTGTCAGGAATATTTCACTGTATCTCATCAGGTGCATTTCAACATCAACATATAATCAAGCACAACACATTAGTTATACTCCACTGAAATACAAATGATCTCTCTTAATACATTGTTCATCTAATCATGATAATTTCATAATAATCACATGACATCAGAATAACATCAAAATTATGATGAATTCCTCATGTTTACATAAGAAGCCATTGTTAATTTTTATTGTTAAAGCTTCAGTTAGTCCTAGCATTTGCCTGAAGGGTGTGTGGTAAATCGCAAGGAAAGCTTCATCTTTGTCAATGACATGTCCAGAATCAAGCAAATGATTGGCACCTTTCTGTTTTTCCACACAATAGTGTTATACTGCGCTAAGAGGAGGCATGGGACTCACAGCTCATGGCGTTGGCAAGTATGACTAGTGTTAAGAAAAGTCTTCCATGGAATTTCAGGAACACCGTTGTCAACATTTGTCTTTATTGTGTTTTTTCTCAGGCGCTCAGCTCTCATCCTTTCTGCAATAACTTCTTCCTTCATCTCCTTCCCTTCCTGATGTGCTCCCCCCACACAACATGGTTCATAGCATTTTGTTCAGAGTCCACCTCAACACCTGTATCAATCATGTCCCAAATCAAACAAATAACAACCATCATACATTCACATAGAATGGCAATAGCCAATGTTATACATCAAGTGCTGGACCCTAATCTGGTCCCACCCCTCCCCCCTCCATGCTTAACATCAAAAGTGAAAACTGATGATAATGATGTAATATTCCCCCCCCCCTCCATGCTTAACATCAAAAGTAAAAACTGATGATAATGATGTAATATACCCCCTCCCTCCATGCTTCACATCAAAAGTGAAAACTGATGATATTGAGGTAATATTCCCCCTCCCTCCATGCTTAACATCAAAAGTGAAAACATGATAATGATGTAATATTCCCCCCCCCCCTCCTTCCATGCTTAACATCAAAAGTGAAAACTGATGATAATGATGTAATATCCCCCCCCCCCTTTCCATGCTTAACATCAAAAGTGAAAACTAATGATAATGATGTAATATCCCCCCTCCCTCCATGCTTAACATCGAAAGTGAAAACTGATGATAAAGTTGTAATATCCCTATATTTTGTTCATAAACCAATCAGTACTAGATAAGTAATCTGGTCAACATCTCACAGGCCATTCTTACACTCTAGAAGTATTTCCTAAGAGTCCAGGTCAGTCTGTAAGTTCCTTCCTTATGTGGATTTAAACATATGGCCACCAGGCTGACATATAAGCTTTTGTGACAAAAATGATGTATTATTCCCCCCGATAAACTAAAAAAAAACAAAAAACAAGCCAAGTACTTTTCATTTTTGGAATATCCCAGGGGGAAAAAAGTCCATTGAACATTTTTTTTTCTCTTTTTACTGATGTCACCCACAAAAAATGGATTGCAACAAGCCATTGCATTTATATACCAGCTGACACTGTTATTAAGACATCCAACATACGTATGAATGCCAAGAAACAGATTATAAACAGCATGTGTATACCAACACTGTGTTACCAGTGCCAGACTTGGACATTATAAAAGTCTAGCCTTGATAAAATTAACACCTGTGAAATTAGATGTCTGAGAAAAGCCGCCAACTCAATCATCCGACAGAAAATTAAACATGATATTATAAGACAGACTGTAGGGACGACACCAGGCATCAAACTCATTGAGAAACAGACAATCAAATGTTTTGGTCATGTAGTAAAAATGCAGCCAGAACAACTAACAAAGCAGGCACTGTTCATGAAAAGATATGATGTGAAATCAAGAGGTCACCTTAGGAATACATGGATTGATGACATTAAAGAGCTTCTACATCGACATGTTAATGATAATGTCCACTGCTGCCCATCAAGCAATCGATGTCAAAGTGTTCCTTCCTAAGATGCCTAATGGCAGAAGTAGAAACTGATGATGATGATGATGATGACCTCCTAAAAAATTAGTTGTAGTTTGGAACCTCTGCCTTCCAAAGGTAATCTAGGCTGTGACTATAACCGTGACACATAATCCAGACTTTGACAATGGCTGTAAAAAAAAAAAAAAAACTTACTACTGTCTGTAACTATCTTTTTTCTTTTACAGCTGTGTAGACAGAGGTTATTGAGCCTAAGAATTTGGGACCATCACTAACCTTGATAAATCCTGCAAAATAATCTTTGATTTCTTTATCGCTGTTAGAGATCTGCGTTTTCAGACGTTTGATATTTGCTTCCATCTGTTTATTCTCTGATGTCAAGTTGTCTACTGTCAGCCTGAAAGTAATATTTGATATTTTTGTTTTCCCTTTTTGATTTCATGGCATTAGCAATTGTAACAAAGTCAGTACCCCTACCCCCTTTTTATTAGTGTTGTGCTGTTTGCACGACAAGACCCTTGTGGCCTTCACCCTTATTGTTAGAACTTGTGATTAGTAAGCAACTATATCCCCTAGGTCCCTATTGTTTCCCACGTACTTTGAATCGTCTGACTAGACATGTGACTCTCCCCGTCCAGCACCAAAGCAATTAACTAAAATACCTATGTCCCGGCAACCAAAGGTCGCTGCAGAAAATCTCCAAAACAACGAGGGATAGGAGCCCCCTGGGAGCAGGCTAGTAACCCCTTTATAAACGATTGCCCGGAACCTTTGACACACAGAGAGGACACACGAGACGGACAGGCCAGAGGATAGTCGAGGAGAGACAGAAGGCACAGACACACACAGACAGAGAGGACACAGGGACGGACGAGACGGACAGGCCAGAGGATAGACACAGACAGGCCAGAGGATAGTCAGGGACAAACAGAGGAAAGACACAAACAGAGATAGACTGAGGCAGAAGAAAGAGGACAGCAAAGAACAGACGAAGGACAGGCTAGAGACGGAGTGAGGAGAACAAGAGACAAACACCGGCCAATTAAGCAGGGAAGACAGCATAGATAAGTAGGTAGACAGCATTAGATAACAAACCTTTTTAGCCCAACCTGCACTAGTAGCCCGGTGGCAGTTCAAGACAATAAACCTATAAGTAATTTAGTATTTAGGAAGAACACAGCGACTTTCAAAATATCACAGATGTCGATTTGTAACATTACTGAGATGTGTCAATAAATACAGTGTGATCCTGAACAGTTGTTTCCAGACACTTAGTTATTCAAGCATCTGAGGCACGTGAGAAGCATGCAACGAGTGCTATGTGTGCATAGCCTTCACCACTAACCACACGACCATCTTTCTCCTCGTCTATCAACAATCACCCGCCACCCTTGACACAAACAATACCGAACCTGGGTTATTTGATGAAGCATAGGCAGTAAAAGAGACGACTGTGTCACAGAAAGAGGGACGGGGTGGCAAAAGTGATTCTGCTAAAAATTTGTAACAATATGAACTTAAAATACAATGTGTTTCACAATATACAGTGTTAGATAATGGCTAAATACATAAGCAGTAAATATAATGTTAAACAGGATTGTTCTAATTTACCTATAGTCTATGTGTATGAATAAATTACAGTGGGGCAGAGGGGATAGGAGTTAAATGTTGCTGTTAGTACAGCCACTTGTAAGACCTAACCCTTTTGCCTCAGGAATTTAAAAAAGAAAAAGTTCATGGCCCCTTTAGAATTAAAGAAAAAAAATCTTTGTTTTTAAATTACTCTTTGAAATACATAAAGATTTGGAAAAAAAAAGTAATGAATAAACATGAACATATTGAAGCATTAAATGGAATACATCCTCCAGGGCCTAAAAACATTTTTATCAGCTGACTTATGCCATGACCCCGTGACCTCCATCAATGAGACTTAAGGGAAAATCTGACACCAACTTGGCTTCACAACAGCCATTTAGCTCAAATTTAAATGCAATTGTTAGTTATTGTAACTATGACCTGACCTCCTAAAGACACAGGCACAAACTCAGTCAATAGTATTAACATTGCATCTCATAAACAAATCACCATAGACAAGTTGGAAAAATGACAAATCCAAGGAACTGGTTCCCAATGGAGAGTGTCACATTTTCAGCTCCTCAGGAGGAAAGCATTAATGACTTGTTTACTGCATCAACATTCAGCATACCAGTGTTCTTTACTTGTATTAAGCTCATGGTATGAAACGTATGGCAATATTTTCTCAGGATGGATAGATGAACAGATCACAGGACTCTGACACACAATACACATGTCCTACCTGTTTTTAGCTCTTTCAGTAATAAATGACTCACCATAAGTTTCTTGGGGTGTTAAAAAATAATATAATGATCTTTTGCCATGAGGGTTCCTGGGCCCCACTGTATAAAAACAAGAATAGACCCACTGCCTACCCGACAAGCATGTCATAAGAGTCAACTAACTGTGGGCTTTCTTCAAAGTGCATCTGCCCCAAAGGCAAGGAATCAACAGTCTGCATACAATTATGTCAGATCTGTAAAATGGATGTGCACACACACTCAGTTTCTGGAACAAGAATAAAGTCCAGATTTGGATGGACAACCAGAACTTTCCGCCGGAGTTTACATAAGCCTGTGAACGTGAAGAAGAAAGTATGATACTCTTTAATTTATATACATATATCATACACTTAATCGTCAAATGGAAGACAGAGAAATATGGCAGGTTTTATGCGTTTCCATCGATTTACCTCCACGACCATAATGGGTCAAGGGTCATGTTATGTTATGTATGAATTTCTCTTAAGGGTTTTTGTTGTGAAGTGGTCAAGACACTTGCTTCACACTCTTTTAGTCTTGGGTTCATCTTCTTAGCATTCACCAGCTGTAAACTCTAGCAGAAAGTTCTGGTTGGATGTCCACTTCTGGACACAAGACTTGTTCCAGAGCTTGAGTTGTGTGCACATTTTACAGGTCTAGCTTATTTGTATGCAGACTGTAGGTTCAGGTAGATGAACTCTATAGTTCTTTAGTTTAAAACAAAATGAGGAAGGGATAATTGGATGAAGCAGTTAGCATCTGATGCACTAAAGCAAACCAAGAATTTAAACTAGTCCCTCTCTGACAGCAGAAAACAATCACAGTCAGCACAAAGAAACAACTCATACAAAGCATATTAGGTCCACCCTATGCTTCCAGTGCCAGACATGGTCACAATTAACAAATCAGAAAAGACAAATGAAAATTATGGAAATGTGATGTCTGGTAAAAGCTGCAGCAGTGACCAGAAGATACTAAATCAGGAACAAGGTCATAAGAGAAAAAGTCAGCACAGAATCGATTCTAAATTATTTACATAGACAATTAATAAAACAGAAGATGCCAATTCCTTGCGATGCCATGCCATCCATGATATACCAAAAAAGTTGAGGTATGCGGAACATAAGGTAGATCAAGAACAAGATGAAAGGGTAACATCATAGAAACTACAACAGCATGACACGTCTATGGTTGAAATGGCCAAAAAATGCAAGAACCAGTACCTTATATCTTCTTCTACACCCAACATGGTACAAGAGGAAATAAAGAAAATGCAGAAGAAAGGGGGAGAACACTCTGGAATAATCTATGAGAACACTCTGGAATAATCTGTAGTCAGTTCCATGCTTGGTGGTGAGTTTATTCTTTCTGGGTTTATACTGTTAAACCTTTAGGTATGAGTCTTGGAAGTAAAAAAGAAACAACAATTGATGACTCAAGTCTGAAAATGGTTACCTGCTGGCTTCAATCAACGGCTGTGACAAGTCGTCTGCAAAATCCAATATCTCATCTTGCTCCTTCTCTGCCTCTTCAACCAGATAGTGCAACAGTGTGAACCTGGGCTTGTTTGCCCGTGTGTCAATCAGCTTGTTCAGTGAGGACATTTTGAAGCCAAGAGCATTGCCTGCATACCCTCCCTAGATTACATGTGAAAAGATTTGAGAAGTGAGGTTACAAAATTACTGGTACAAGTAAACAGCTAATATTTAGCTTAAACACACAAAGTAATGTTTCTTTTGTTCTTTATCTTCATTAGAACATATGCCAGGGTTGGAAAAACCATTGCTTATGGACCAAAACAGGCCAGCAGAGCAATTTTTAATTGGTCGATGAGGATGGTGTAAAATTACTTTTTAATATTGCTCACAAAATAACAGAACACAAAATCATATGTTTGTTTGCAGAAAGAAAAAAATCCAGATATCAGCACCCCCCCCCCCCCCCCCCCCCCCCCCCCCCCCCCCCCCCCCCCCCCCCCCCCCCATAAAAAAATCTTTTTTTTTAAATAACTTAGAAACAGTGATAATCAGAAACTGATGCCGCCAGATATTTGATTCTGCTAGGGAAAAACATGATGCAGATAAACTCAGACATTAAGAGACAGTGTCTTTCAATGGATTTTGATTTTTTTTAAAATAACGTGGTGACCATTCTTGTCTTCTAGTCAGCAATTTTATAGATAACAAGATTGTGGTATCCTAAATAATATTGTGTTTTGAGAAAATCTGGGTCTTGTGTTTCAAATGAATTTTTTTTCTTTTTGGCCCATGACCATTTGGTAATTCTTAATTGACCCCAGGGTGTAAAAATGGTTACCCACTACAGACAGATGCCATCAACCAAATTACATGAAGTTGCCAATCTATTAAGATCTTCTTGAGCTCCATCTATTTTCTGTCTTTCCAGAGGATGCTGCTCTACTCTGTTATAGGGCGGCACAGGAACTACTGAGGCCATGCTTTTGTTTTCAGTTTAATTATAAACAAAACATTTTTTCAAAACTATATTTAAAACAAAAAGCCAAGGGCCTTATTTTATTTGACACTTTGATTTATGTTGCATGTTTAATGTTGAAATAATTATCAACATCACAGCACACACTCCATCCCCATCCTCAGCAGCAGGCGAAGAGTTCCTCTTTGATTTATGTGGATGTCCAAGTCCTGTTTAACAGTGCTGTGATGTTAATTCTTAAATCAGTAATCAGTTCACAGATGTAGGCTTGTAATCTCATCATTTCTTGTAAGTTGTATGTGTTCTGTAAAGCTGATATAAACTCAGTGTTTTCCCAGTTTTATAATTAACATTTATTTTATTTGTATATTGCTGCTCTGTGGCTTAGGAATTAGTGAAAAAATTTCACTATGCAATACATGTTTACCCAGATTCCATTCCCTTGGTAGGTAGTTCTGAAAACGACTGTTCTCGTAGTTTTCAGAAATATTGCAGCCAACCTTCATTGTGGAGATGGCTCATACATATGTGTTAAAATTTTTTTATTAACTGTTTTTACTACCAAACAATGCACTGTACATTTCTAAATCAGTGCATGATTGACTAATTTTGTTTTTTTGCTCTCTTCTATTTCAGACAGGTACTTTTAACTCTTTGTAAATGAAGACCAATTTTTATTTTGCTGTCTTTTATCTCATGTTAGGTACTCTTTGCATCTGAAGACTAATTTTTATTTTCCTGTCTTCTATCTCATACAGGTACTATTAACTCTTTGTATCCGACTTATTGACTACTTCTGTCTAAAAGTGTCTAGGTTGACATCTTTCAGATCTAAGTATTTATTGTTTGTAAGGAAAGCAGTCTGTGATCGAAGAAATTAGTTTAATGGTTTCTTGGGACTGAAAGAGTTGATTCTACATAATTTCAAAATGACATATGGAACAACAATTAACAACCTGGCTACTTACAGCATTGATGAAGTTTCCAGCATGCAAGACATATCTGAGAAATCCCTTCAAAGATGTGCTGTCTATCAGTTTGTTGCAAGCTGTGATGATCACTTGTACATTTGGTTTCAGCGAGTCCATGGCAACACGGAAGTCATCTTTTAACAGCATGCCTTCAATCTTAAATATAAGTAAAAATAAAGTAAAGGACCCTTTTCCATGCCTTTAGTCGTACTGCACAAATAGACTAGGCGCACTTGACTGGTGATTCGTTCAACATCACACTGGCCCCATTTACATCCAGATTTGAACCTATAACATTCAGGCCCAGGGCAAGCGTCAAGCTGCTACACCACTGTGGCTCCCTCAATGTGAAATATCAGCATCAAAAGTCATAGCTCTGGGAAGGTAAGCCTGGATAATAAATGCATAAGGAAGTTGAATGTGTTGGCTAAAAGGCAAAAATGTCACACAAGTCTTTTTAAAAAAAATGCAGAAGTGATGAACCACATGAGTGAGGGGGGCGGGGTGAAGGGGGTACTAGGACCAGAGATAACAGTGGTCAAAACCAATAAACCCCTCTTTACGGTCATCCTAGTAACAGGTTGCCAACTGGGAATGTGGATAATATAGAGAGTATCAACATTTTCTTCAAAGCTGGAGAGCATCTGCCTGAGAAACTGTGAACCAATAGTCTGCACATAAAATCTGTAAAATGGATGCGTACACTACACTCAAGTTCTGCAATAAGCCCAAAATCCAGAAGTGGATGAACAACCAGGACTTTCCACCGTAGTTTACAGCTGGTGAATGCATAGAAGAAGGAAATAAAGGAGGAGGACAAACACAATAAAAATTAAAGGGCTTAGAAAAGCTGAAAATTATCTGAAGACAGATGATCTAACGTCACTATGACATAACTATATTCAAGACAACAGAAGAACTGGAGGAGAAAAGAGGCAGACCAATAGAAAAGCTGTTAAACAGTTGCACATCAGGGTATAGATCAGTGGCTCCCAACCTTCCTAATGCTGCGACCCTTTAATACAGTTCCTCGTGTTGTGGGGCCCCCAGTCATACAATTATTTTCGTTGCTCCTTCATAACTTCAGTGAATATGTGTTTTCCGATGATCTTTGTTGAACCCTATGAAAGGATCGTTGGACCCACAAAAGGGTCATGACCCACAGGTTCAGAACCGCTGGTGAGTTGGCTGAAAGGTGCGAACATCACAGCTATACTGTAAAAACAAACAAACAATAATGATGGCCTCCTCATGTGTGTTGCTGGGCTTCATTTTCAGGGAGAAGAAAGACAAGACCCACTGCCTAATAACATGCATCTTATTGATGGCAACTAATTAAGGATTTGTTGAAATCAGATCTGTGTTGCAGATCTGGAATCATCCCCCCCCCCCCCCCCCCCCCCCCCCCCCCCCAAAGTTGAACAAAGAACATTATCAGATGAAAGATGTCATAGTACTTTAAGACAATAGTTAAAGGAGAAATTCGCCAGTGGGTGAGCATAAGAGAAGTTAAGATAGTTTGGCTCCAGGGCATAGAAAGACAATTGTATAAAAAATGAGGTACTGTTAATTATTTCTGATACTGAGGCTCTTCCATGCTATGATGATAAAACTGTCCAACATCTTCTGTTTTGGTCTCCCTTACTGCCTCTCTTCCCCACTAACTTTTCCATTGTAAAAACAGACTCCAGATGTTCTCTTTGTACAATATTCAAAGTTACAGATAAGGTTGGGAATGTAAATTGTACTCCCCTGATATGAATGAGAGTCATGGACTGTTAATCAATGAAGAAAAAATCTGAGCTTCTGAACTGAAATGAAATGCTACAGGCAGGGTACTAAGCACCAAGAAGAAGAAGAAGAAGAAGAAGAAGAAGAAGAAGAAGAAGAAGAAGAAGAAGAAGAAGAAGAAGAGAAACACAGAGATCCTACATGAAGTGAGTATCAAGAAGAACTGGCTCATAGAAAGCATTTTGTCCTGAAAGCTGTGGTATTTTGCCCAGGTTAAATGTCATGGTGGCCTAGAGAGAACAGTGATGGACGTACAGACCCCAGGAAAATAAGGCAGACACAGACCAAAGTGAAGGTGGATACAAGACTTTGCAGATTCGTTATGTTAAAAAAAGCCCATAGGGCTGGAGAACTGGTTAGAGGCGTGCAAAATGAGTGCAATGTTCTATAAAGGACCTGGTGACTGGTGATGACATGGATAATAAGTTCTCTTCTATGGGCAATCATGTAGTCATTTCTTTCAGACATCTTCAGTAAACTTGTGTCTGTCCATGGTGTTCTCAACATTCATTTATTAAACTACCTCTCCTCAACTTCAAAATAATTTGCACTAATAGGTTGACGGATTGGCTTTATACAAATCTTAAAAATGCTTTCTTCTTAACTCCAATGCCATCAACATCATGACCATCATCCTTTCTGTGCTGTTAGACATCATATAGGGCTCACATTCAATTCCTCAGCTTCATTCTATTGCATGTAACTTTCTTGATTTCTGACAGGCAAAGACAGATCACAGAGAAAAACAGTGGTACATAAGGTGTATGTTAGACGATTAAGTAGATTTATTTATTCTATACTTTCTTAAAAATCACTTTGACATTCACACTTTTATTGAAAAATGTTACAACCCTCGGTATTAACAGAAACATTAGCTATAGAAATATCACTCTAGTGCTTTGGGGACCATTATCACAGCACTTCGGACAGATCCAAAGATGCTCCCAACTCATTAAAAGCTCTACAAACATACAATGATTGATGATGCCTATTCTGTGATGATTAATCAAATGTCTTGTCCCCTTAATGAAATCTTTATTTCTTGCAGCTCCAGGTTGCACTCTCATGTCCATCAGCCTAGACAGGGATACGGAGTCATGTCCTTTACCATGTTCATCTTCATGGTAAGTGCAGCCATGGCAGTGGTAACATCATTTTTGTCAAGTTCCACACCAGCCACAGCAACCGTAGTGTCTGCAAGCTGCCTCGAACACATGCATGAACTGGCACAAAGATGAAGTTTGGGAGAGCCATTTGTGAAGTGTTTAGTGTTACAATCTCTTCTTGCCTGATAAGCCCAGCCCGGATCAATCCTACACATGTATTAATAAATGGGGGTCTCTAAGGAGAAGTAATCAAACCATTTGTCTCGCGCACTAAAGGTTGTGGGTTATTTTCACTGCTGTTAATGTGTGCCGTTCTTACAGAGGTCTCTTGGGATTGTCACCATAGTTACAAAGTTGGTGCTTCGTGCCACACTCTCTGCAGGTGGCAAGCCATTCTGAGGAGAGAGATCCAGTCATACTAGATAAAACCCAATGTAATGCAGTTGTTTCCCGGACTTTAACTTCAAAAATCCTATTTTGATTGTTTTCTTCTATGAAACTTCTTTTCCTGTACTTGCACTTAAAAGGTTGGCTGTTATGTGTTGTACACATACCAACCATCATTTTATGGGTGAATGCAGATAAAGAAGAAGAAAAAGGAAGAAGAGAAAGGGGAGGAGAAACAGAAGACTCACCCTGATTTGATATCCGGGTAATTCAGAGAGTACAGAATAAAACTTCTCAGCATTTCCAAGCTTGCTTCTATCTCCATCATAGTTTTTGATCATCTCAATCTAGAAACACAGATGAATCAGTCAGTTTATCAACAATTTCCCTCACTGGGATAAGGACATTCCAAGAGATGCTCTAACAAATTCCTCAGAAGTAACTGAAGGATTCTCATTCTAATGGTGCAGTTGCAACTTAATAAACATTAAAAAGAAAATATTTATTTTCCTGATAAATGAATTTTTCACTGACTGCATAATTTTGCAGTCTTGATAACAAGTGGGATACAAAACAATCTGCTCAGCTAACCCACCCACCCATACACACACAAGTATGCATGCACATACACAAAGAAACCCCAAAATTATAACACACTTTCAAGTTCATATATTATTTTACTGGAGCCGCATTAGCACAACTGCTAGACATTTGCAACGGGTATGAATTTCTTGAATTCAAATCCACTTGAATACAGTTTTTTTTAATGACTTCGGCTCCAATATTGTCCCAGCCTAGAGTTTTCCTGGCAGGTCAAAGCTGTAGCATGATGCTGCTACCTCAAGAATTGAATGCAGATGGTATTTAAACACCCAGTGTGAGTTCCAGGGACCCACATTGGGGGGGGGGGGGGGGGGGGGGAGAACAAGAATAGATCCTCTGCCCTTCAAACAAGCAGAGAAAACTAGTTATGGGTGTCTCTTTTAAAGCTGAAATGCATCTGCCTAAGAAGCCAGGAGCCAGCAGTTGCGTACAAATAAGTCAGATCTGTAAAATGGCAGTGCACGCAAAGCTTAAGTTCATGAACATGACCAGAGTCAAGAAGTGGACTATCAATCAGAACTTTCTGCCAGAATTTAAAGGTGGTGAATGCTAAGAAGTAGCTTTATAATGATACCTGATGCACCAGTCCACACCATTATGTCACGTTATTCACCCACTGGGACCCACTGTCTTTTCCTCTATTCTGTTGTATACTGTGCCACCTTTTCAATGACAAGATTTAAATCCAATCTAGCCCGTTAGGCCTCTCTCATCTATGTTTTTTAAAGGGCTACTTTTGTTCCTTACTTTCTCAGTATATTTGTTTCTTTCTCATTTCAGTTTGTCTTAACTGTAACTATCAGCTGCTGTCCATAAATGTTTGTGATTTCATCTTTCTCAGATTCAACTTATTTAAGGTTTATCAATTTCCTCAGATATTTATTTTCAAATACATTTAACTTTTATTAGAAGTTCTCCAACATTCCCTAGCTTTTGGTAAAACTGAAATAAAATTAGAATAGAAAATGTGTCAGTAGCATCTAAACTATAATTTAGAGTTGTATATTTTGTTGAGGATTTTAACACTTTCATTCCAAGGAAGACATCAAACATTTGTATAAGGGTCATTCAAAAAAAAAAAAGCCTTCAATTTGTATCTATGTAAATACTGCATCAGTGTGCAGTTTGTACATTTGCCAGGATTCCTCAAACATTCATCTGCATTGTACAGCATTACCAACCTGTTTCAGTAACAGGTGGCACCACTGTAACAGTTTTAAAATGGCTTCCAAATATGTTCATTAAAACAACATAATGTCAAACAATTCCTAAATGCTGAAGGCGAGTTCCCAATTCTCATTCACAAATGTCTGAAGAATGTTAATGGAGATTCAACAGTGGATGATAGCACTATTCGACACTGGATAGAGTTTTGTGATGAAGCTGAAGTAGCTCAATCCTCAATGGCTGGCACAAACTGGATTTGCTGTCCATCTAATGCAGTTAATCAACACAACATTTATAGAGTTGATGACATCATTCAGGCTGAGCATCCGCTATCACTGGATGACGCTGGACATTGCCTTTACTAATGCATAACATGGAGTACAGTTCATCCAGTAATAGCCCACAGTCAGCATGATGTCATCAACATGATCAATGTTGTGTGAAGTAACTGCATTAGACTGACAGCAAGTCCACTTTGCGCCAGCCATTAAGGATTGACCTACTTCAGCTTTGTCACCACAGTGTAGCCAGCTTCTGACAGTACTAACATACACTGCTGAATCTCCACACACAGATTTAAAAAAAAAGGGGGGAGGCATTACTTTTTTACCGTCTGCTAGGTTCATACCTAGATCAATAAAAACAAGATGTACCGATTTTACGTCTCTCTTTACTACCCACTGGGCCTCTGTTGCTTAACCCCGTGGGACTGAAAGAGTTAAAAGCTTATGTACCTTGCCATTGGGTAACATACATTATCTTTATGTGTATCTGCCGATATTTCTAAATTTCAATTTCAGAAGCATTTTTAAAGTTGCCATTAACTGCAATAATAGCAGGAGTTTTAACAAAAATCATTTTAAACCACTGTCCACTGAAAAATTTTAAAATCAAAAAGACTGCATCAAACTAACAACTAATATAAATACACTTTACACACTTTAATAATGGAAACATTGTGTTAGATCTTTACTGAATAATCTCAATAAATGGGGAAATAATAATATAAAAAATAATAATAATAATTTAGTGTTTGTGATTTTAGTATCCCTTTTGCATGCAAAACTATAATCCATAAAAGTGAACAATTTAAACCTAAACATGCTGTCACCTCGTCTTTATCTGGTAATATTTTATGTAAGCCCCTGAGTCTCTCAGGTCCAATTTTAGCAGTGTCTCCTTCCTTGATCATCTGTATGATCTCTTCATGGCTGCCTTTGAACTGTTTCAGGAAAATGTTGGAGTTCATGCTGCGCTTCATGTCCAGAAGATTCACCTGAATAATAATATAAACAGGTAATCATTAAACATGAACAGAGTGAAGCATTAAATGGAATACATGCCCCCCCCCCCCCCACAGGAACATTAAAAAAAATCCAATATGTATCAGGTGACCCATGCTGTGACCCCTTGACCCCCACCAATGAGGCTTATGGGGACATTTTCAGTCATAATAGCCCCTAAATGCTATTTTTAGTTTACTATATTCATATCCAGAATATCTTGGACGAAAAAGAGGAGAAATATTGACATCTTGAAAGATCTGAACATCAAGGAAGATTGGCTAATAAACAGCATCCTGTCTCGGAAGCTGAAATATTTTCGTTATATCAAGCGCTACGACGGATTGGAAAAAAATTATAGCAGAAGGCATGGTACCAGGAAGGAGGGACAGGGGCCGACCAACACGAAGATGGGCACAGGATATAAGTGACTCTTGAGTAGGAAAGTATGTGAGATGGGAGACCTGGCGAGAGACAGAGTTTCTTTCAGGCAGACTGTGATGAGAGCGACATTCTGCAAAGGACCTGCTACATATCTTGGCCTACTGAACGCCAGGCAGGAGCACATAGGACCAGTGGATCTTGACAATGCTTTTTTGAGAACTGAACCACGGTCATACTGCGTCACAACCAGAAGTGCATAGATCTAGTCTTCTTAGGGTGACAGGATTAAGTCAGCGCCCACTAAAGCACCTAAACTAGGGTGACCATAACATCTTGAGCAGAAAACGGCATCCTACTTATATTTTCAGCTGGAAACAGGACACTGCTATTTAGAAATAATACTAATATTCTATTTACCTGCAGTGAGGGAGAAAATGTCCTAAAGAAAAAATATTATGAACATATTTCAGGCTTTAAAAATATCTAAAACTATGGCTTCTAATAAGGTCTACAGATATAACTATAAGTGTATGTTCTATTCTCCAGCTTATTCCTATATTTGCATAAAATAGGACAATTTGCGCTTTTTGGGGGATACTGACAGGACAGTTGGAGCACAGCTCATAAACGGAACTGTCCCTGTGAAAACGGGAAGAATGGTCACCCTAACTTAAAACTAAATGATCTCCTACAACGTGCTGAATATTTAACTTCTTTTGGTGTAGAATTTTGTAGGGGGATTATTCTGAAACTGCTGAGTCATTAACCGCATGTCATTATCTTTGCCTGGTTTTAAACGAACGAACGAACGAATGAACAAACTTTATTTTTAAAGGGTTGAGAATTGGGCACGAGGGCCCGTCTAACATTCTGCCCTTCGAGGTCTCCCTCCATTCTTACATCATTTCATTCACACATCAAGTAATATTAAAAGTTAGCAATAGCATCTAAATAATCAATACAAGCACTGGAATATGCACATTTTAAACTACAGTAAAACGTATTAGTTGTGACAAATCTAAGGAAAATAGGCGCTATTTTTCACATATGTTTTATCTTCTATGGGGGCATATAATCGGTGCTGAGATAATATTCAAACAGTTTCCGATTGTATGTATATGGACTAATAGTACTTTTGATTTGCTGTGGTAGATAATTCCACAATTGAGCTGCGGAATATGATAAACTTGTTTTATAAAGGTCTATCCTAGGTTTAGGGATGTGTAATATGTTTAGGCGCTTACTATGCCTTTCATTATATTTAAACAGTGGCCATAAGTAACATGGAGCCTTTTGAGATAATATTTTGTAAGTATATATGAGGAATTAGGTAGCTGTGTACCCATTCCTGGGGTACTGAAGCTGTTCTCATGCTCTGGTTGAAGTTAAAAGCCATCTCCCTCAGGTTTTCATCACTTATGCTCTTCATGTGCCATACCTGACTCCATCTCGCCCCGGAGCAGTGTCCTTTGCTTTTTGCAATACATGTTTTATATCCTCCACCCTAATAATATCCTCAAAATAATTATGATATCACAACATCTAGCTTGAGAATGGAGGTGGAGGCAGTCACAGCTGCCTTTCGCTGGCTTGAGAATCAGCTGTACACACGTTCTCATTGTAACTGACTTACAGAGCAAGCTGAGAAAGGTGGAAACAGGCATACTCAGTGCAGAGTGGCAAGCATCACTTAATAGGTCCCGCGTAGTTAGTATCCTTTGGATATTTTCTCCAAGTAATGCTGGTGTGTTGGGAAATGAGCAGGCAGATAGACTGGCCAGTTCTGCACCACTTGGTGGTGAACTGATGTTTTGACAAGCTGGGTGTATTGAGGGCCCTTTGGGAGCGAGTGAACAGTGCCGAGGAACAGATAGATCATTACGGTCTGAGGAGAATGGCACTGCGAGGAGTTACAAGGGGATCTGGCTGACACTTTACACTCAGGGGAAAGGTGAGACGGATATAGTTATACAGTTATTGGTATCATCAAAATTGTAACTCTCCGCTTGCTGCTGAAAATGGAGATGGAGCGCTTATGGGAGTGTCCAGAGTGCTGCGATATCGATTCCTAATTCAACATTCAACATTGGTGTAGAATACCTATAATGTTGTCATCAATCACTCAACCAAGCATCAGCTTTGATCTTCTGGGGCTGAAAGAGTTGAAAAGAACCTTACCTCTGTGTTTACTTTAGCTTTGATTGGCTCCTCTTTCTTGGTGTTTTCTTCTGTCTTCTGACAAAACAGCTGCTCTATAGTGTCATATTTCACCACCACTGGATCCTCCATCTCCAAGACTTCTTTCCATACATTATCTTCTCCTGATTGGAAGCATTCATACAAACAGGAAATACTGAGATACAGAGGCAAAATATGTTGTCCAGAACATATGTCCATACACTTTATCACAAACTGTACTGAGCTCCCATTTGTAATATTTGTAACAAGTCTTCTTTTACCTCCTCATCTTCTTCTCATCAAGAAATCTAAAAAGGGACTGATGTGAGTTGCCTGAGTGCCGATGCTCCACTAGAAGTTAAAAGACGGAAACAAAAAGAAGCAGAGAAGATGAACAGAGGTAAACAATTGAAAATTACTGATTGTCAAGCTTTACCATTAGAATAAAGTATTTGTGTGAGTTTGGGTCATCGTCGGACCGCAGCTGACGCATCATAATGGTCAATGAAACAACAATGCTACATCAGCTGAGATTGGTGTTCAGTACCAATGTCGATATACTAATGATGCATATGATGTCCAAGTCCTGTTTACAGGCATACAAACATGTCAGGGGGGATAGTTTGGTCCCATATGACAGTACATCGATCTAGCTCACCAAAACAATTAAAATAAGGTGCTGAAGTCGAAGGCAACCAGCCAGAAGGCACACAGCAAAAATCAGGATGCCCCGCACAAACGTGCTGACTGAATTACAACAGACAGTGAAGTTCATACTAGACACAATACGTCAGATATATAAAATCTATTTTCTTCTTCTTCTTTGTGTCCACCAGCTGTAAACTCTGGGGAAAAGTTCTGGCTGTTTATCCACGTCTGGACTGCAGTCATTTTCCAGAACCTGAGTGTTGCGTGTGCATCCGTTTTACAGATCTGACTCATTTGTAAGCAGACTGCTGGTTCCTTGCCTCTCAGGCAGATGCACTCCAACTTTGAAGAAAGCTCCCAGTTAGTCGACCCTTATGACATGCTTTTGGGTAGGTAGTGGGTCTATTCTTGTTTTCCGTATAACAGGGCCCCAGACTCTACACAGAGAAGATAATATGTTTAGAGCAAACGAGAGCAGAAGAAGAGGAAGTTTGCTGTCCAATTTTTAGGGTTGAAGCAAACACAAAAAGCTCCACTTCCGTTAGCTCACATGTCATGAAAGGTAACAAATTAAGAGTTTGCTGAAGTCAGATGTGTTAGGCAGAAAGGTGAAGACACTGCAGTCTAGCTATATAAACCACAGCACAATATGCTAAATGCCTTTAAAAAACCAAATGTTAAAAAAGAAGAAGACAAAAAAAAAATAAGACAAAGAAGAAGAAGACACAGAAGAAGAAGAAGAAGAAGAAGAAGAAGAAGAAGAAGAAGAAGAAGAAGAAGAAGAAGAAGAAGAAGAAGAAGAAGAAGAAGAAGAAGAAGAAGAAAAAAAGAAGAAGAAGAAGAAGAAGAAGAAGAAGAAGAAGAAGAAGAAGAAGAAGAAGAAGAAGAAGAAGAAGAAGAAGAAGAAGAAGAAGAAGAAGAAGAAGAAGAAGAAGAAGAAGAAGAAGGAGAAGAAGAAGATGTAGAAGATAAAGAAGATGTAGAAGATAAAGAAGATGAAGACAAAGACAAAAACAATGAAGAAGAAGAAGCAGAAGATGAAGAAGATAAAGAGCAAGGAGGAGGTAGTTAGGAGGAGGATAGAAAGAGAATAGAAGGAGGAGGAGAAGCAGAAGAAGTAGCGCAGAATAATTATATTATTAATTAAAGATAAACATCTCCTACATAATATGGAAAATGCCTCATCTTTTAGAATTAGAAAATGCATAAATTCATCAACATCATGTGTCATGTCAATAAGTGTAGGTGGTAATAGCTGACCATCTCACAAGGTATTTATAATCACAGATCAGGTCAGTGTTTTTGCCCCCCCCCCCCCCCCCCCCCCCCCCCCCCCCCCCCTGCCATCCTGATTACTTATCTGTTTTGCCTTACCCTTTGCTTCTTTCTTCATCACATTAACCAGTTGTATGGGAGCCATATAGTATAGTTGTCATCTCCAGCTAAAGTCTTTTTTTTAAATCTCACCTGATGTATATTTGAACTCAAGACCATTATCTGACAGGCAATCATCTAGCCTTACATGGCTCCCAATGCTGGTTCTACATCGCACTTTAACCTTCAAATTCATAAAAAATTTAAATTCAGTATTTTTGGTTTGGTTACTTACTGCTCAGGGACTGTGCTGGAATTTTGGACCAGTTGAATGTCTTCATTTTATGCTTTGGTGTGGGCATGGAAATAAGATGCAGAGATGAAGACTGGTTACCCCACTGTGGTTGTCCTGGTGCAGACTCACCCATAAATGGTGGTGGAGGTGGACCACCTAATCCTGGTGGGGGAGGAGCCGGTGGTCCTCCCATGCCAGGCAGAGGTGGTGGTGGCGGAGGTCCTCCCATGCCAGGCAGAGGTGGTGGGGGCGGAGGTCCTCCCATGCCAGGCAGAGGTGGTGGTGGCGGAGGTCCTCCCATGCCAGGTAGAGGTGGTGGTGGCGGAGGAGGTCCCCCCAATCCGGGAAGAGGTGGTGCAGGAGGCGGAGGAGGTCCTGTCATCCCAAAAAGTGGTGGTGCAGGAGGCGGAGGAGGTCCTGCCATTCCTAGCAGTGGTGGTGCTGGAGGTGGTAGAGGGACTTCACTAACTTGTATCATGCCTGGTAGCACAGGAAGTGGTGGGGCAGGTGGTGGAGGAAGTTGTTGTTTTATAGCACCATTGTTTATCACAGTAGAGTCTGAAGAAGGCAGAGAAGTGAAAGCACCATTGGTATAACTTAATGTTGGAGAAGATGCCTGTACACTGGCAGCTGACTTAAGTACAGCAGAAACAGTTTTATTCACATTTTGATCGATGTCTCCATTTCTGAAAACTAACTCTCCAGAAGAAGGAGAAGTCAATGCATTAAACAAAGCTTTGTCTTCAGCATCAGAAACTTGTTTCTCTATGAAGGAAGACATGACAATTTCTGTTTGAACACTGGAATCTGTTAATGACAAGATTCGTCCATAGCTGCCATTGATATTTTCTGTAGAATTTCGTAGTTTCTCTAGCAAGAGTTTGTCCATAGTGTAAGAACTATGAAGCTTTTTTGCTCTTTCGTCATCCAGAATAACAGCTGTCTGCGCTGCATGCTCCATGAGATCCCACTGAATGTCACTGGAAGGGAATGATAGAAATAAAAACTCTGAAAATGTACATGTGCCAAACCCTAGTAAGCTGCAAGTACGTGTGTAGTGTATATATATATGGAGTGGCTTATAGGATAGGATATTCAGCTCTCGCATTTGCAGATGTGGTATTTTTCCCCACTGTATGGCTCTATGGTTTAGAAATGAGAAAACATGCTTTACAATTTATTAAAGGTCAATTTATGTGGCAGTTGGTGAAGAATGGATAAATCAAGAACTGACATGTCTGCACTCAGCACATTTCCTCAGGTGTTCCTTCTCCCTCCTCAATAACCAACAAAGAGTCGACATGCTAACATTACTAGTTGCAACATGATCAAAAGTGTTACCTATGTTTCACCCATTAGTGTTAAATATCTTCCACAAACTCTGCTCCCCCTAAACTGAATTATTGTTTCACTGTGTAGATGGTTGGCCTATAAAAAGACTGTGGCTTTAGACAGTGGCAGAATAATCGCCCTATGGAGAGAATAAGACTTCACAATGTAATATTCCCACTATCAACAGTTATAAGACAGAGAAGATGGCACTATTTTGATCACATACTGAGAAGCAGAGAATCATCAAACAGACATTAAAATAGGAAATAAAGAGACTGAGGAGATGAGGACACCAAAAGAAACCCTGAAATAAACACTGATGAAGGAGGCCAAAGGTGCTGGACTGGATTTCATCTATGATATTGAATTGATCACACAGGACAGACTATAATGGATGAATAGACTGCAAGCACTATGTAATATTACTATAGGCAGAACTATATGCTCATATCCACTGCAGTCAAACTCCACTGTGGAGATGCCCTAGTTTTTAAGTTTGAAAAAAATTATTCTCACTACAAACTGTGTGAATTTGTATAAAATAAGAAAATAACTATTTCCTCCTTCAATCCTTAGAGAGTAAAAGTGACATCCAGTCTTTTCAGAAAAGGGTGGCCAACTCTGAGAATCCACATACACACTGCATTTATATATAATCCTAAACTTGACTGCACTGATCTTGCACTATGCTGAAGCTCCCTCTATGCGTTATGGAGGGGAGGGAAAGGAGCTGGTAATTATACAGAAATGTCTGTGTGCAAAGTATGTTTTTTTTAAGTGAAAAATAAAATGTGAACAAGACAACATACATCATCATTATATGCATATTAAGGTCACATAAAGGTGTTTTCCTGAATAAAAATCAGCAGCAGGCATACAACAACAACAAAATTGGTTGTCATAATCTATAAACAAAGCAGATAGATGCAAAAATACATTTATCGGGAGCTACCATTAATCATAAGTTCTGGGATGAACATAAATGAATAAAGACCTACCTGAATGTGGTTTCAGGATCTATCTGTAGCAGTGTCTGCAGAATTGTGAGAAACTTGTCTGACAGAGGAGTGTTGTACACCTAATAGATCCACATTAAACATGTGAAATAAGAAAAGTTATAATAAAAGAATAAAAAAATTAATTGGTACTATAAGTATGAAGAGTAAATGAGTACATTAAAATGTATAAAAACAAAGTTGGTACTATAAGTATGAAATATAAATGAGTAAATTAAAATGTAAGAAAGAAATAACATTAAATGAAATGCATGAAAATACACAAAATACGAACTAAAAACAAAAGTCATAATAAGTATGAAATAAAAAATCTTCAACTGAAAAGTATGAATTAAATGACAATACAATAACAAGTAATAAACAAGTAACATACATTAAGTACTACATATTATTACATGAAACAGTATGAACCAAGTAAAAATACATTAACAGTATGAAATAAAATCTTGTATTAACGAGTATGAAATGAATATTATTACATTAAAGTTTACAGTAATGACAGAGGATACATTGCCATCTGGTTGTAGATTATGTCATCATATACCCTACTTTATGGTATACTGAGGTTAGCTTACTAGCTCCCTTCCCTATACATGTACAGTCACACACATGCAGACATACACACACAAACAGTAACACAGACACACAAACATAAACACACATACACAGACACATGCACATACACAGACACACACACACACACACCCATATACACAGAAACAGAAACACACACCCATATACACAGAAACAGAAACACACATCCATATACACAGAAACGGACACACACAGACACATACACACATAGAGTGAAACATCGGACTGGTTCGAGGTGCAAAAGGAAGTGAGGCAGAGGTCCATTCTCTCACCATACATATTCAATATATACACCAAAAATATAATGATAAATCTAAAAATTTTTTAAAATATACACAGAAACGGACACACACAGACACATACACACATAGAGTCACAGACCAACACAGAGACACATACATGCAGAGACAGACAGACACACACAAACACAGAAACACAGAAAGAGACTCACACACATGTATACACACAGGGACACACAGAGACACACACACATACAGACACACACACAAACACACACACATGCACACACAGACACAAAAACATACACACAAGAGGAGAGCTACCCACCTTGTTGAAAATCACATCAAACAACTCCCTGTGGTCGTTGATGTCCACATGTTCTGAGAGTTGTTCTGCCAGTTCGACATCATCATCATGTTTGAAGTCTTCAAAGACATCACATTGGATTTCCAGCTCCTTGTCGTTGTCATTACGTAAACTTGGGATCAGGTCCAACAGATTCAGTCCTGTTGGTACAGGACAAGTTTAACAGTAGATCAAAGACTTGCACCAGATGATTTTAGTCAACAATCAAAATCACAGCACTCGGGATATTCCCATATGCACTGCATCCTAATATTTAGCAGCCGGCAAAGAGTTCCAATAATGACGATATCAGTAACAGTTTGATTATATGCTTGTCTTGTCTTTCTGCAGATTGTTGGGCAGATCCCCTGTTCACTACCCATCACACCATTATCTCCAAACCATAATGATCTGTTCAAGCTCTTGCATGGTTCACTTGCTACCAAAGAAAGACTTGCATGAATATAATTATTTAAAGATATGGGGGGGAAAAAAAGAGTCCAAGAATATAATAACATTGTCCATTACAGAATCATTTTCACTGCGTTGCAGGCATACCCATAAATGCTCCGATCTTATCCTATACATGTTTTGATGTGTGTTTACACTTACTACTCCTGTTTTGTATTGGCTGTTTAATACAGAGGGAATGACTCCAGCCGTACAAATTCAATGGACCAGTATGCAGTTTAAAATAAAAGTGCAATTGAAACCTCTGTAAGCTTTGATCCCTTTCCTAGTGAATGCAGAATGTTGTGCTCTAACAAAGGCAACCAGGTGCAGATTTTTACCAAAGGACGCTCTGCTGTTTTGAATAGGAGACAGGTGCTTTGTCTCTGAGCAAAACTGCGCAACTGTCAATTACGTTTCGCAAGTAAAACACGGTCTCGGTAGCCGAAACTTGCTAACCATTGAGATGGTACCGGAAGGTGTTGAATGGTCCTGGTACAGAAAAACATGGAGTTTGTGACATAAATCAACTGACCTATACTGTTGACAAATTTAATCTCACACCTTTAACTTGGACATAATTCATCTAAAACCTATGAAGTTTAGAAGAGGTCAAATTCTAGAATGTTCTAGAACTCCACAATATAGTTATCCAACAAAATTAGTAAAAGTGCATCATGTGATACCCTAACAGAAGATTCTATACAACGATCATGCACGCTCTGAGAGGGACTAAGTCAATTTCAGATGTTACTCAGAGGCTGACCCTGGCTGGTGGCATGAGCCTGCATAACAGACCGTTTGACAGACGTTGTAGGGAAAGATGTTGAATAACTCAAAATGGGATTCTATATGGGAACTCGCAAGGAAATATAGAAACTGGAAAAGAGATTTATAAGAGAAACAAGCTTGACCAACCTCCACTGAAGCATACTACAACATGCTTACAATGAGATCATATAAGATCATTTATTTAGCTTTTCAAAGAAGGGGCTTTTCACTTTTTTGTCCAGTATTGTGTTAGAAGAGAGCAAAAGGGTGTTATTTCATGGATTATTCATTCATTAGGATTTCATGCTGGTGGTATTCATTGTTGGATTATAACTTCCATAAGGACAGTACCCAAAACTGTATGTGTTGTTACGTTGATCAATGTCCTGTCAGCAAGTTACTTTACAATTAAACAGCTTAATCGATCATATAATCACGGCTGAATGTCTCAGTGCCTGTTTATCGTCAAAGGACGATGTATAAAAGCAGACCGTGTCTGTGGTCATTAGATGGGGCTAACTGTGAACCAGAGGAGGTCAATCAGTGGAGCTCACCCTAACAGCCAAAACACCACAGGCGAGGTAGATGAGGACGCTACATCATTAAGAAACAGTAGAAAAACAGCAGACAACATACTTCAGCAAAGGACCCTGAACCCAGCTAGTGAAAGAGGCATGACTTCAATGCCACAACCTTGATGGAACAGTAACCTCCCAAGCCACCATGATAGCTTCCCACCGGACAGGAAACAACCCTAAGCGCAAGACCGGCAGGCATGTTGATCCACCACCAGACTACTGCCACCCTTATCCGATCCAGGCAAGTCCTAATAGTCCTTTTCAGGACTATTAGGTTTCCCCTCCCAAAACAGCCAGTGTAGCAGATACTCAAGGAAAACATATGAATTTAACTCTTTCAAGCCAAGCAGATTTACAATAGTATAATAATTACAAAAGAAAAACAAAATGGTGTATTATTTTCAAAATATATATACTATCTTGTATGCTAAAATATCTAACCAGATTTTTTTTAGTGTGTATATTTCAAATTAAATTCTATCACAGTTTTATTGTTGGCATGAGCTATTCCTGTTTTTCTCTTCTCCCAGTATGCTCAAAGAATAAAGACCGTCTTGTTATTTTCTGTAAAGATATTGTATTAACCATTTAATCTCTAATGTGTATGTTACGGCAGATTAACAACACACCAAACATAGCTCAGTCAAATGATGTATTACCATATGGAAGATCATCATGGTCTGGAGAAAATAGTGCAGCAGAAAGCCATCAGGGGGAATCTGGTCAACACTCAACACTCAGCGAAAAGGCATGATTGTCCATACAATCAGATGGCAACTGGTACCACCAGAATCGGAACTATGTACTGGCTGCTGCAGATAGAGCTGGAGCACTTACGGGTATGTCCTGAGTGCTATGATTTCGGTCGTTAACTCAGCTCAACTAAACTCCCATAAGTTTCAATACATAGGAAAAAAAGTATTGTGTGAAATAAAACCCATTTTTATTAACATAAAATGCTCTGCAAGACAACCATAATTTGGAAAACACATTCCTATGGGTGACTTTTACTGCTGAATATCATGTATAAGCATAGAAGGAGATACGTTTGTAATGACATTGGTGATATCTTTATTTTTCCTATGTTTGGAATCACGGGTTGATCACTTGGCATGGAAAACAATTAATGGAGTAACTAACAAAACTGACCCACAAACTCATTCCTAATCCTGTTTCTGTCATGCAGGTCTTCACAAGCATACAGGATGCAGTTGATTAAGGCCATTAGAGCTGTCTTGTAAGGAATCAGTTCACAGGTTTTCAGTTCGTTGATAATCAAAGAGAAACGGTATCTCATTTGCTTCATGTTCTGAGATAAGAAAAGAAAAACAATTTTAATTTAGGGAGATATGTCACGACATAGAGACTGTTTAAAAACTGAATCTCTTAAAAGAATCAGCTCAGAAAATGTAGTTTTCAATCAATATAAGACAGAATACATGAAAATAAGTAGACAGGGAAATGAAATAAACTCCGGCATACAAGTCGATAATATGAAAATCAAACGAACAGAAACATATAAGTACTTGAGTGCAAACTTCAACTGCTCCAACATACTGAGAGAAGAAATACTATCTAGAATACAATCTGGAAATAAAGTATACTATGCCCTTTAACATCTGCTAAAGTCTAAGTGTCTGTCTCGCAACACCAAGATTAAAATGTATAAAATGTTGATAAGATCAGTCATTTTATATGGCTCTGAAACTTGGTGCACAACTAAAAGAGATAAAACCTTATTACAGGTTTTCAAAAATGACGAATCTTTGGCCCCATCAAAGATGCAAACAGTGGTGAATGGAGAGTGAGAAGCAACAATGAAATTAATAATCTGTTTAACTCACCACTGATCACTGCCATCATGAGAGCTAATAGACTAAAATTGTTGGGGCATATTGAAAGAATGTCAGATGACAGAGAAGTAAAAACTGTATACACAAGGGAGATGAATGGTTGTAGACTATGAGGCAGACCAAGAAGACGATGGAGATAATGTCTAGACAAACCTGCAAACACTTGGTATCACCAACTGGAAAGAGAAGGACAACCAGAGAGATGAATGGAGGCGGGTAATATCTGCAGCAATTGATGACAAGGGGTTGGAATGCTGAAGAAGATGTCATGACAGGTATTTAGGCTGGGATGATTTGGAAGCTAAACTCTCTTTTTTTTTTTAAATCAAGCTTTGTTGAGATTTAAACTTATGACTTTTGGTTCCACAGGCAAGCGTCTACCAACGCCAGTCATCATCATCACGTGCCCTGCTGACTGGCGTAGACGTTCATGCATCTCCACAGATTTCTGTCCCTTGCTCTCTGGATTAGTTCCACTGATGATATCCCTCCATGCCACTGTCACAATACATCCATCATCTTCTCTCTTGGTCTGCCTCTGCCTCTTCCTCTTCTACCGTTGATCTTTCCAGTTGTTACAATATTCTCCAAAGCCTCCCTCATCATCAAATGACCCAAAACACAGTGCTTGTTTTTTCCTTATAGCTGTATATATTGATTTGCTTTCATAAGCTTCCTTCTAGCAAACCTCATTAGTTACTCTGACAGTCAAAGTGATTCCTAACATAAGTCTGAAAAATCACATCTCCATGGCCTCCAAGTTCTGTCTAATTTTCACATCCTTCTCTCACATATTTTCAATTATTTTAACCAGGTATTCTTCTTAAGCAGGTTCATGTTAATGAGATTTTACTGTACACTGAATGTATCCAGTGCATCTAAAGCCAGCTTATATCCATGACAATACAAACACACACAGCCTTCAGCTATACCTTGAATGTCTCCAGTGCATCTAAAGCCAGCCTATATCCTTCTTGTGAGTACATGCACAGAGCACTAAGAAGCTCCACCACCTGTTTCTTTACCATAGCACTGTTGGTGTCCATAGCTGCAAAAAACATGGATAAACCCATAAAGAAACATACACTGAACATCATTATTGAAAGTTAATTTTCAAGATACATTCAGTGGCAACTGTTGGTAAACATATACAATTTTACTTCTTTTAATCAATCAACCAATCAATCAGTCAATCAAACAGTCAATCACTCAATCAATTATCTAATCAACCAATCACAATCAATCACTAATCAACCAATCAGTCAATCAATCAACCAATCACAATCAACCAATCAAACCTTTAGTGAATCGCTCAAACACAATCAATCAACTAATCACTTAATCAATCAATCAGTCAATCAATCAGTCAGTAGATTAATTAATCAGTCAATCAATCAACTAATCAATCAATCAGTCAGTCAGTCAATCAATCAATCAGAAGTCGTCTCCTCAGTGATGTTTGGTTGCAATGGATCACCAACAAGCTCCAACAAGCCATATCGAAGACTACTGCTTTATAAACATGAGTTCTCCAAAGTTGTATTCTTGGTTCTTGTTATTTATAAAAATGTCCTGCCCTTATGTCTGCCATCATCGTGCATTTTACTTGTGGAAGACTGTTTAGTCCTAAACAAATGCTTAAACTTGTAATGTACTAGAGTTGTCTTTGCATCAAAAATTAAACAATGTAGTTGGGTGAAGCTATGCAAAATTCATGCAAATCAAAATTAGTAAATCTAAATCTCTTTTAGTAAGGTAGGGAGCATGCGTTGGTTTTTCTTCTCCAGGCTGTGCCGGTGTGGTTGTGAATTAACAGACAGACAGATTGGCTGGATCTGAACCACTGGGTAGTGAATTGGTATATGACAAGGCAGATGTGGTCAAGGCCCTTTGGGAACAAGTAACGAAGTCAGAAGATTAACAAGATTATTTATGGTGGTTTGGAGAGAATGATGCACCTTGGTGTGACACAGAAGGTCTGGCCGGCTCACTACACTCAGATGAAAGGCAGGATGGCATTTAACCAGACTGTGACCGGTATCATTACTACCGGAATTCTGCCCCCCCCCCCCCCTGTACAAGCACTTGTAAACAAACAGCTGAAAGGTATACAATCTTGTAACAATTTAACAACTTTCTGGATGCAAACACTAGGAAGTTATTCTATACTTTTCACATTCAGACTCATATAGACTATTACTCCACTATCGATCCTTATTGGGTGGCTCTGCAAATTGAATCATTCAAATGAAATAGCACTTCTGAAAAAATGCTCTTCAAAGAAGGAGTGTGCATAAATAATAATCATGTAGTTGACTGTCCCAACCCATATAAAGGTCTTATGAAACCTTTTTATTTTTTTTTAAAGGTTAAACTTATTCAAAAAATCTTCTCCCAAAATTCTCCAGATTATCTTTCACTATTGTTTAAATATAATGGGAAGTATAGCAAACGTCTTAACATATTGTACATTCCTTCACCTAGAATATACCTATGCAAAACAAGCTTAGCGTACTCTGCAGCTCAACCGTGGAATCATCCTTTACGGGAAATTTTTAAAATATCAATAACCCTTTTACATATAATCGGAAACTATATTATCTCACTACAGTCCATATGCCCCATTAAATGATTATAATAAGCTAAGCATATAGTATATATCCCTTGGAATTTTTAGTTCTTATACCAACAATTTTATTGTTTGAAAATGTAGGTACCAGATGAGACCATTCTAGCATTTGAAATTAATTTTATTTGTTTCCGATGATGTTTATATTATGCTACCTATTAAATATATAAAATTAATTTTAATACTACATTTTTATTTTTTATTTTAGTTTAGTAATGTAAGTATAATTAGATCACATGCCAACATTTTTAATTGAGACACATGTTGTTGCAAAAGTTTATGAATTCCTACGAAATGGCATATGAATGAATTTTTTAAAAATATATACAGGCAGTAAGACTTAAAGAGTCTGCACACCCAGTTGTGAACCCTTTGAAAATAAAGTTTATCCACTGGTTTACTTATTGATTCGTTCTGTCTTTTGTCTTGGTAGTATACTCCATCAGACTACTAGCCGCCAGTATTTTGATATTGTCCTCCGACTCATATCATTGTTTACATCGCCCTCTCTTGTCTTCAATATTTCCAGTCAGTGTCGTTTTTAAAGGGAAATAAAAAAAAGAAATATCTCAAATGTCTTTTTTATTTCGTTCAGCAACTTTGTTTTTAAATTCAATCTCTATATTTGATTGTTTCCACACCCCAACCCCCACAAGAAATATGTCAAATTCTTTTGTATGTCCACATCTAAAGAGACCATTACCATTCGATTGTCTAGCTGCCTCTTAATTGTCCATACCTCTCTAGATATCAAATAATTTTCGCACTTTTTTGATATTTTTAGCTATTTTTGTTTTCTGTTTGATTTCTGTTAGACTTCTGCCATCCAAACAACCCGCATATGTTTTTTCCTTTTTTTGTCATCCTAAAGATAACATAATCTTGTACCTGTCATTTATCACAGATAGATATTTAACTAACAGCTTGTGTCTGAATGATAAGTTTAACTACTTCAGTCAGACAGTGTTTCTGTTGAGTCTCTTCAGAAGTACGTATTTACTGCTGTTAAGCTCAACACCTTAGAATGTCGGAAATGGGATTTGAACCCCTGCCCACACTCATGAACCAGAACACCCATCTTCATGATCATGGGCAAGTTATAAACCTTGAGCCTGCTTCCTTAGACCACTCAGCCATTGAACATTTTTGTGAGGACAAAAGTGGGATTTGAACCCACACTCAAATGAGTGACATGCGACCAGATTACAGTGCCTAAGACAGCTCAGCCATGACCGTCTCCAGTGTACTGGCTTGCATCAAACAAAAGGAAAGACAGAGTCAACTAAAATCTGTCAAAGTATTAGATGGTACAAGAATAATTAAAAAACACCAGGAATAGGTCAGTTTACAAAATCCCAATTACAGCACGCGCGCGCAAGCACGCACGCACGCACGCACACACACACACACACAAAGGATGTTGTGATAACCCTTTATCAGCCCAACCACAATGAAGTTGATTACACTGTTTTCTTTAGTTAGTTAGTCGCGTTACAGGACGTTGCAGAACCAATCCCATCTTATTTTTGCTGTTGTGGTATTTTCAAAGGCAAATTTTACGTTCAGTAGTTTGCAACTGCAATTATACGGTCATCTCTCGGTACGGTCAGCAGGGATCGAACCCGGCACCCTGGTATTACAAAGCGGGCGCGCAAAGCCTAAGCTACAGATGCCGACCTGCTTTCTTTGGGAACATTAAATAGTGAAGCCACGATATTTTCCCATCTGCGACACTCCTTGTACCACTGTCCCAAAACCAAAAACTTTTTTTTTTTAATAAACAAAAATAATAAACCCAATTTCTTCTTCTCTCCTTTGCGTTCACCAGCTGTAAAATCCGGCAAAAAGTACTTGTTGTTCGTCCACTTCTGGACTGCAGTCCTGTTCCAGAACCTGAGTGTTGCGTGTGGATCCGTTTGACAGATCTGTATGCAGACTGTTGGTTCCTTGCCTCTCAGGCAGATACACTCCGACTTCAAAGGAAGCTCCCAGTTAGTCGACTCTTACGACAAGCTCTTGGGTAGGCAGTGGGTCTTTTTTTGTTTTTCACATAGTAGGGAACCCACACGGGGTAAAAACCCAGTTTAAAACCAAGACTTTTCCATGGTGTCACTTTCATACCACTATGCGAAAACCATACACATTTGTGTTGTTGTTGTCGTTAATAAACCATCCACTGTGGAAATCAAACCGCTTTGCTTGATGATCGTGAAATGCTTAAACACATTCTACCCACACACACACATAGATAATCGAACAAATATAAATCACGGAAACCCTGTCCAACCGTATAGCCATAAGGCACCACAAAACAGTTACAAAGTAACCCGTAGTCCAATGTGACTGGGTCTGATGGTTAACATAATCTTTATCCGCACATAATTGTAGGCTGGTGAAGCCATTATGGTTGCTCAAATTATAACTAATTTTTTTTTAGGTTGAAGGGGGTATCTGAGATTTGATACGTTGGCTTAACATTAAAAATTTTTTTTTTAAATCTCATTGTACACTATATATCGGAATCACAACCAAAAATGTGAATAACACAATGTTTTAAATAATGACATCAAAAAGAGAGCCGGAAAGAGAATCAATAAAAGGCAATAAATTGAGAAACAACTGGGTTGGGAAGCCACGGCTTTTAAAAAGAAATCTTACGATGAATGTTGACAGGAGAGGCCGAAATTGGCGGACTGAATTTCATCCAAAATATCACAAAATATTACAGGGTTGGAACTCAAGGGAAGAACTGACCAGAGATGATTTAAAGTATAAAAAGTACAAAAGCGTGATTTTATTATTATTATTATATTAGACATCGGAGAACATCGTAACAACTGGAAAGATCCGTGGAAAAAGGGGTAGAGGCAGACCAAGAGAGATGATGCTGGATGAAACGATGGCATGGAGGGATATCATCAAGTGAGCTGTTCCAGGCAACCAGGGTTCGTGATCTGTGGAGACGCATGAGCGCCTACACCAGTTGACAGGACACATGATAATGATGAATATTATCTTTTCCTCGCTTTTTTGTTGATGTTTCGCTTCTGAACCCCTTCTTTGCTCTATTGTTTTACATTTCCCTTGCATATAATTGTAGCGTTGGGTTCGTGTTGTTGTATTGGCTGATAATGACCTTCGTGGAAACGCTCAGTCATACGCCAGTGTTGCCATTTTTCTTTGACAAAAAATATCCAAAACGGTGTCAAAAAATATCTAAAAAGATCTAAATCTGCGTGGAAAAGATCTAGAAAAAACATCCAAATTGAAAAAGTCAAAAATTACATAGCTTTCTATAGTACAAGTGAGCAAATCAGCTTTAGAAGTTGGCAACACCAGTCTTTTACCGAGTGAAATAGCAAGGTGAGATCATAAAGTAATTTAACTTTATCAACAAGTTTAGATTCGAAGTTTATTAA